AGTTATGCAAATCACGGCCCAATCCCCAACAAGCTCCATTCACAGAATATGCAAGATTCAAAAACTTAATAAAAATGTTTAATAAAATATAAAATTAGTGTAAACAACAAGGGAAAAAAACAATTGGTCAAATTCTTACTGCCCTATACACAAATGAGCAAAATATTGTATACCTTATAGGATGGAGAAAAAAGCTCCCAGGGAAAACTCACACAGGGGTGGAGAAATTATCATTCAGACGCTGTAGCTCCTGTCTTCTCACTTCAATAAGTTTGTACTCTCAGAAGCCATCCTTGCATCCAGAAACTGTCTTGACATCTCAAACCTGCCTGCAGTGAGAATGCAGGCTCCCTCACCTCTGTGGAAACTTGCACTGGAGAACTCCATTAAGGGAGAAGACAACCCTTGTCCATATTGCACTTGAGTGCCTTTATCAACTAGGTTATAAGCTCTTTGGGAATGGTTACCATGTCTTTTTATAGAAGCTAATAGAAGGAAGGGACCATTTTTTATTTATCTTTATATATCCACTAGCACTTAGTGTAACATTATGCATAATTATTTAAGTATTTAATACATGCCCGTTGAATGCTAAATGAATGTGTTTAGTAAATATTTGTTGATTGAATTTCATTTACAAATTAAAATACTTTTCTCACCACCTTTTATAAATCAATATTCACCTCTAAATCTGCAATGCTGTGATGATATGTAATCTACTATGGTCAGTAACAAAGAGGCTTTCCTTATAAATTATGTTCACCTTCTGCCCCTTATACTATTTTTGGGTTTTGCCTTCTTTTTGCTTTGTTTTCCTTAGGTAATTTGCTTCTGTCTTCTGAGCCTCAGTTTCCCCCTTTAGAAAATGGAGGTAGGAGGTTGGAAAAGATGATTTCTAATGTTTCTTCCAACTTTAACATTCTGTGATTCCATGAAAGTGTTTTGTAAACCTCAAAGGACCACATGGAATTTTAAAATTTGAAGGGATTTTAGGGATCATCTAGCCCATTAGATGAGGAAACAGAACCGAAGAGGTAAAAGGGACTTGCCTAAAGAGTCACAAGGTGACAGAGTGACAGCTAGTATTCAAACCCAGGTGTTATGACTCCAGATTCAAATATGAACTATAATAATAATAATTATTATTATTCTCCAGTCTTCTTTACCTTTGATCTTTTCTTTTTTTAAATAAATCTTTAAATTCCAACATACTTCATTGCTAGCAGGTCTATGTTAATTTTGTTTACCAAAGATGAATGACATCATAATCTTAGGCATCACCTTCTTACTATCAAACAATAGAAAGCTGGCAAGAGAATATGCATAGTGCAATATAAGCCCACATCACTTTAATCACTTTCTGCTAAGTGGAAAGTCTCTCACTGGAAATAACAATGTCAGTAATATCACTGATGTTGAAGAAGTCATGGAGTGATAGAAAGAGTGCTGTGTTTAGAGTCTAGAGATTTGGATTTATAATCATAGATTTTGACATGAATGTGGTATGAAATTGAGAAAATCAGTCTCTCTGTGTCTCAGTTTCCTCTATAACATGGAAACAAACATTCCTACCCTGTTTTCCTCAGTATGTTATTTTGAGAAACAAGTAAAATATTAAGTGTGACAATACTGAGAAGTTAAAAGACAGGTACATCATTATCCTATTTCAAAGGTCTATTATAAATACCCTTTAGCTCCTTTATCAGCTGAGACATAGATAATATAGATTTTTAACCAGGTATTGACGATATTCTTGGTGATCTCATTAACTCCCAAGTATTCAATTATCATCTCTTTGCAGATGATTCCCAGATTTTCATACTCAGTCCTACTCTATCCTGAACTTCAGTCCCAAATCAGCTAATGCCCCTTGGACATTTCCCACTGGACATCCTGGAAGTATCTCAAAACTGACATTGTCTAAAACTAAACTCATTATCTTTCCCCCAATCCCCACCCCTCCTCTTAACTATGCTTTCTATCAAGGACACCATTAGCTTTCCATTCACTCATTTCAGATCTGAACAGTTGCCAAGTCTTATCCATCCTCATCACCTCTCACCTTGACTATTGCAATAACCTCTTAATTGGTCCTGCCTCTAGTCTCTCCTCTCTCCAGTCCATACTCCATACAGCTATCAGTGGTATTCCTTAAGTATAACTGACCATGCTACTTCTCCACTCAGAAAGCCCAGGGGTTCCTTATTACCTCTAAGATAGAATGCAAGCTCCTCCATTTGATGTTTAAAGCCCTTCAGAAACCTGGCTATAAGAACTTATTGCATGAATTTGGAAAGTCATGCATTCTACATCAGCCAAATAGGCCTCTCTATTCTTCAAACATGCCTTAACATACGCTGCCCACCCCTCCCACCCTCTACCCTATGCCTGAGATGTACTACCTCCTTCTATCCATCTTTTAGAAGAACCCTTAGCTACCTCCAAAAATCAACCCTAGTTCTACTTCCCTGTATAAGCCATTTCTTTTCTTAATTTTTGGAAGGCAGCTGGGGTTAAGGACTTGCCCAAAATCACACAGCTAGTGACTATCACATGTCTGAGGTCATATTTGAACTCAGCTCTTCTTGACTTCAGGGCCAGTGCTCTATCCACTGCACCACCCAGTTGTTCCACATGAGGCATTTCTTAATCTCCCTAGCTGCTGTGCCCTCCCCCATTACCTTGATTTTACCTTATATGAATTTATATCTACTTTTATGTGAATGTTTCATTTTCCCTGATAGAATGTAAGCTCCTCAAGGTCAGGGACTATTTTGACTTTTCTCTTTACAGCCCCAGACACTAACAGTACCTGGCACATAGGAGGCACTGAGTGAATGCTTATTGATTGATTCATTCTCTTAGGGATATTTCTGACCAGAAATGCCAGTCTAGAATCAGAGAAGCCTTTCCCCCTAGACCAGGGGTTCTTAACCTTTTTTGTGATATTTCATCTTTGGTAGTCTGGTGAAGCCTATGAAGCCCTTCATGTTTTTAAATCATGTTTTTAAATGCATAAAATAAAAGACATAGGATTACATGAAAACTAATTATATTGGAATAAGGTTATCATATTTTTTTAAAAAAAGATCTAGACTGTACTGGAGAAACACCAACAAATTATTACTATGTCACTCTTTTTTTCCCTTAAATATTTGTTGTATTGTGGTCTTCTGTATCTGCTTCATGCTGACCATCTCCCTTCAGTTTACATATGTCTTTGTAGCATTAACCTTCTTTTCATCACACTTTTACAATTCACAAGGTGTAAATTTTTTATCATAATTTTAAGTTAGCTGCTTTCTGATGACATGTAGAGGGTTAGGGTAATACATTTCTAACTCATACTAAAGCATGGGTTATTTGGAAGACTCATTGTGGACCAATGATACCATGTATGATGTAGAGATTCTTGTAAAACTTTAAATAGAGGGAGGCAATTTTGTTTGAAACTTCAGTATTTTGTCTTTTTTTGACCTTGCCCTCAATCATCTAGATCTGCATCCTGCGGTCAATCATACCTTGGGACCTGTACCCTCTGTACGTTGGCTATGAAGATCAAATAGTTCATATAGTTCATTCAGGATTGGTGACCCAAATATGATATTGAGGTAAACAGTGAAAAGACCACTGGCCCTAGAAGCAAAACATCAGTATAGTAACATTGAGGATATTAGCCTTGGAAAGTCAGTGAGTCTATCTGAGCTTCCATTTCCTCATATGTAAAATGGAAATAAGAACACTTGCCTTGACTATCTCACAGAGTTTATATGAGGATCAAATAATAATATTAAGGAGCATTGAAAATTGTAAGTTATTACTATTAGAGGTTCCCGGACTTGAATGGAATGTTGGTTGTGTTTTCAAATATTTTCTGTGATGTTTTTTGACGGAGACATATGGGAGTTGCAACAATTGGCTGAAGAATGTCCAGAATTTATTTTTAATAGTGTAAATGGAGAATCATAATTAGAAATTATGGCATCTGAAGAAAATTCAGTTGAGGCAGGATGGCACCTGAGGCATGATCATTCATCCACATGATTGAGCTTGATTAGAGAAAAACTGAAGAACAATAAGCCAAGTTACTAGAAACAAGGAGGGACTGGGAACCTCAAATGTCTCATTTATTTATTCATATCAGCACATCAAATGAAAATTGGTTAAAGGAATTAGAGATGTTTAGCCTGAAGAAGAGAAGGCATGGGGGTGGGGATATGATAACTGTCTTCAAACATTTGAAGGGCTGCCATATGGAAGATGGAACTCTACTTGATCCCAATGGGCAGAACTAGAAGTAAAGGGTGGAACCTACAAAGAGGAAAATTTTAGGCTTCATATAAGGAGAAATTTTCCTTCTAGTTAAAATATTAGCTCCCTGAGGGCAAGGACAGTTTCATTTTTTTTTCTTTCTATCTCTATCACAGTGTCTTGAACATAGTAGGCACTTAAACTCATATTGAATTCAGTTAGCAATTAAGAGCTATCCCAAGGTAGAACGCACTGCTTTGAGAGGTCATCAAGCAAAAGCCCTTTGTTGAACGGGTATATTGTAAAGTGGATTCTGGTTTAGGTATGGATTGGATAAGCAGCTATTCTAGTTCTGAGATCCTGTGATTTCTATAAATCAGACATTCTCTTAAAGAGCACAGCTATCTTCTTTCAAGGTATCTGCCCTTCCCTGAGTGGCACCCAGTCTTTATTTTCTAGACTTTATTCTAGCTCTGGCAAGGGGCAAGATTTCAGACCTACACCTCAGGTTTTTCTTTCATTGGCTTATCTAAGGCCAGCCTGGCATGTCAGATTGGTCCTTAAGAAAAGTTTCAGACGTAACATAGACAAAGAGGGAAATGAAGCTGCTCTCAAGTAAAGATCCCTAAGTGTGTTGGGGATTTCTGGGTAAAAAGGTATCATGAGGTACAGTACAATGATTTCATGATATGCAAAATATTTTTAAAAGTTGAAACCACATTTCAGTTCATTTATTTGTGTTTACACAGGCTCCATCGCTGTCCTCGGAGGCCTACAAGGATTTATGAAGAACTAGATTTGAGTTGCCCCACCACTGAGTATTCAGAAAAATATACCAGCTTTGAAAATGTTATTCCTTCACAAAATATTAAATCTATCAAGCATAAACACCAAGCAAATGGAGGCAAAATGTAAGAAATAATGGCATTTAAGTAAATAGTTCACATTGTACGTTATATGCAATGGGGGTAAAGCTATTTCTAGCCTTTAAAAATGTTTTATTAATGTGGGTTTTTTTATGACATTATTGTCCCTTCCTAATGACTCCCCACCCAATGGAACTCTCCCTTGCAACAAACAAGTTCTGTTGAGTAAAGCAAATCAATAAATTGGCCATGTTTGAAAATGTGTAGTTTATTCTGCACCTATTATCCACTAGCTTTTTGCTGTGTCCCGAGGCATGCTTCATTTTCATGTTGTCTTGGTTACAGGTAGTCACCACTAATCCCAATTGCACAATACGTTGATGAGTTCTAATGCGCTTATCTTTTACAGTCTTGTGGTCATATGTCAGTTGTTCTGATTCTGCATACTTTGCTTTGCATCAGATCATATAAGTCTCCCCACATTCCTTTGAGTTCTTCATGTTCATGACTTCTTCTTGCATTACATTATAATTCACGTGTTGGCCAGTCATTCCCCCAAATCATTGGATACCTACTTTCCTTCTACTTTTTTGCTATTACAGTATTTTTCTATATATGGGATTTTTTCTTCAGTCTTTGATTTCAAATACTTTTTTTTGTTTGTTTTTTTAGGCAATTGGGGTTAAATGGCTTGCCTAGGGTCACATAGCTAGTAAGTGTCAAGTGTTTGGTCTGAGGCTGGATTTGAACTTCGGTCCACCTGACTTCAGGGCTGGTGCTCTATCCACCTAACTGCCCCTTCAGTCTTTGATTTCCTTGGAGTATATGCCTAGTAGCAGCATCACTTGAGTCAAAGGCAATGTACAGTTTACTGACTTTATAAATATTATTCCATATTTTTTTTGTAACAGTTGGGCTAATTGACACCTCCACCAACAGTGCCTACTCACCTTCTTCCCACACTCTGTCCTGATACTACACCAGCCAAAATCTGCTCCCCACTGCAGTTAGGTTTGGTTTGACGGAGCTGGGGATTGAGACACGAATACAGGAATCATATTATCTGTACCCCATTCTCTCTTAGTTGGGAAGGATTGGAGCCCTTTGTTGCTCCTGGAGTAGGCTTGGGTCTGAAACTCATTACTTGGCCCTTTATTATCTCTCTCCCTTTGTGAGAGTAAGATAACTGATGTCCCACTTAGGTTTACCTCTTCTGTTGGTTTCTCCTTTGCTCCACCTGCCAGTTTTCCCCATTCTATGTCAGTTTCTTGAGAAGGCCAGACTTGGCTTGCATCTTCCATATCAGCATCCTTGCTGGAAGTGGGATTCTTACTTTTATATTAAACTAGTAACTTGTGCTGAAGTAGAGATGATCTAAGGGGAAACCTAACCATTTAATTTTGAGGCTCAGAAAAGATGTTTAAAAATAAGTCTGAAGATGAGGAATGGTGAGGTGAGTAAAAAGAAGTAGAGGGAAAAAGGTAAAATTATTCTGAAGTTCACATTTTGAGGGGAATTTTTCTGCCACTGTCCATACTTGTTTGGTTGATCAACTGTTTTATCTTCTCTGATATTTTCCTACTTTTCCCCACGTCAGCTTTCTTTAATTTTTACTTTTACGTTGCTCCATCACATTTTTCATTAGTTTATGCCAGCATCTTGGTATCATTTTGATTCAGGTAGAGCCCAACCCACTTGTGTATAGCAGTGATGGAGAACTTTCTATAGCCCTTATGCTGACTGCAGCCCTTGACTTCATTTCATCTAGTCCTTTTAGTCATAGTCACTACAATTCAGAGAAAAATCTCCCTCAAGTGAGTATCTATGGATTTCTAATTAAGAATAGAATTTCTGAAGGTTTAAGAATAAAAAAGAGATGTGTGAACAGTGTACAATAGTCTGAATAGCACTGACTTAGGTTTACCAGTTCTCAGTTGAAAAACCACAACATTTCAGAGACTATGCCCCAGAAATTCTGGGTCCTTACCTAGACTACTGAAACCCAAGGAGGCTGATGACTTAGCACACAAAGGTAAGTGAACCAGATTCATAGCTGGGTGAGAAACAAGATTTTATTCCATAATTTATAGTTGTTTTGCCTGACTAATCCTAGGTAAAAAGTTAAAAAAAATAGTAATCAGCTTGACCTTATGAGGGGTAAGGCATGGCACCATCATGGTATGATAGAAAGAGCCATGGATTTAGAGTCAAAGGCTCTGCATTTGAAGCCTGGTTCTTTTATTTATTATCTGTGTGATCTCAACCAAATCACAACTCCGTTAGACTGTGAGCTCCTTGAGAGCAGGGACTGTTGTTTTTTTTTGTTTGTTTGTTTGTTTTGTTTTGGTTTTACCTTTCTTTGTATCCCCAAATCCTAGCATAGTACTTTGCACATAGTTGGTACTTAATAAATACTTGCTTGCTTGAACTAACTTTTTTGGACCTCAATTTCTTCATTTGTAAAAATGAGGGTATTACAAAAAATGAACTCTGACATCCCTTCTAGTTCTAAATTTAAATTCCTATAATAAATACCCAGCAAGACAGAAGGTTAAAAGATTGTCTAATCTAGCATATCAGACTAATTTAATTTCTTTCCATAGAAGAGGAAAAGGCTTAATAGAAATAGGCTATCTACAATACCTATATAGAGATAGATATGCCTAGACTTGGGACAGTCTACCAGTTCTATCAGTGAAATGGGACATGGATTGTTGGAACTGAAAAGGGCATTAGAAGTCATCCAGTTCAACCTTATTTTACAAATGAGGAAAACGGGATCTAGAAAGGTTGAGTGACTTGACTAGCCACTTAGTAGAAGAGCCTGGACTAGAACCCAGTTTTTATGGTTCCCAGGTATATTGTCTTTCCCCGTAGGATCTTCCTTTCATGACAGGAAGATCTAGAATGGCAGATTTGGAGACAGAAGGGAACTTGGAGTCCATCTAGCTCTATTCCCCCATTTTACAGATGAGAAAACAAAGGCCCAGATAAATAAACTAACATGCCCTAGGTCACACAGGTACTAAAGGACAGAAGCAAGATGTGAATCCAGACCATTTGCCTCTAAAGATAGTGTACTTTCCACGGTACCACACATCTCTCAGAAACATCATTGATTGGGTAGGTGTTGGATTTTCTTTATCCCTTCCAGAACTTAACGCATTGCTAAAGTTCAGAGGAAGTCTACACTGAACAGATAGGACTTAGTAGATCATTTTCAACTCTGAGAGACATATCATGTAGCAAGAAACCCAGTGGAAATGATTGTGGGGCCACTGCTCATGATCTCTGAGAGATTGTGGAGACCCGGAAAAGGTGCTACACATGGTACAGATGTCACCTCTAACTCTGAACTTCTTATAATAATATTTGGTTTCACGTTTCAAATCCCAACCACCCTCAGTTCCCATATTTCATGAAGTGAAAAATAAATATCCTTTATGGAATGTCCCATGTTATGTTATTTCAGGTCCGAACGTCTTCCCTGTGACACATTTCAAGAAATGGTTCATGCACCAGAAGAATACAGGCCAAAAATGGTGGACACTGATATGACAACCACCTATAAGGAGAATTTTAATGTTTACCCATTACAACCTGCTGAAACAATGAGGCCTCTGGACAGACATCTTATTAAAAAAGAAAAGCTGGATACTCTTCCTACCTATAAAGGTAATAGTACACATTTTTAAAAGAAATAACATGTAACCAGCACTTACTTTTAGTGTAGTTGATATGGTGATTTTAAAATATTTTTATTAAACTTTGTTGGGTAAAATATGAGCTCAAATGACTTTGAAAGGAAATATATATAATACATATGTATATATACATGTATGTGTGTCTACACACATAAACATACTGCATATATACCATAACTAAAATTATATATATGCACATAGGTGTGTATGTATATGTTCAAACATATGTTTTTTGGGTTTTTTGGTGAGGTAATCAGGGTTAAGTGACTTGCCCAGGGTCACACAGCTAATATGTATCAGATGTCTGAGGCTGGATTTTTTATATGTGTATACACACACACACACACACGTGTGTATATATATATACATATGTGTGTGTGTGTGTATATATATGCACTTTCAAAGACATTTTGGCAGCTCATATTTGTGTAGTCGAGGAGTGACCTAGTTACATATGCACCTCAGAAAGAAAAGTTACTTTGGCAGCTGTGTGGTGGATGGATTTTGAGAGGGGAGAGAATGAAAGCAGGAAGGCCAGTTTGGAAGCTATTACAATAAACAAAGTGAACGAGGTTTTGAGAGAACTTCAATGAAGATGGTAACTGAGGGGTAAAATGAAGGAGAAAAATACTAGAAATGTTGTAGAAGGCCTCAGATCTCAGATTTTATTTGAGAGGCAAGAGAGCCATTGAGCAAACACCTAATATGAATTCATCTGTACATGAAGAAAATAAGCCATGTAAAGAATGTTATGCAAGGGATTAGAGTGGAGATGGGAAGATGGGAGATGGGAAGAAGATACAGTAGCCCAGGAAAATGGTAATGAGGGCTGGTACTAGGGTCTAAGAAAGGGAGCAGTTAGAGAAATAAGTAGAGAAAATTGATCTATGTACCTAGGCTTCATCTGCCTTTTGAGCCCCAGGCCCACATCTCCAAGTGACTTCTGGACAAGTCTGTTTGCTGATTTCATGAAGTTTAGGAGTAAAGGAGATCTGTGTAAGGTAGAAAGGTCAAGGGAAGGTGTTTTGGGTTTGGTTTTGTTCTGGTTTTTTTTTTTTGGTTTGTTTGTTTTGTTTTAGCACTGGGGAAACCTGAGCATGTTTGTAGGCAGATAAAAGGGAGCCAATGGAGGAGTCAAGGTGCATGAAAGAGAAGGGATGATTGGATGAGTCAGTGTCGTGGAGGAGGCAGAAAGGCTGCGATCAAGGGCATAGGGAGAGGAAGCTAGAGGGCATCTTTCCTTCAGACAGGAGGGAAGGAGATAGAAGTGAGTGACCGTGTGGAGAAGTGCTGAGAAAGATAGTTGAGAGAGTTTCCATTTCATGTTAAGTCTCAGGCCATCTGATTTGGCACATTTAGGCCCCTAAGGAGAGAGAACAGGTTTGTAATAATTGTGACAAAGGGGAAATGAGACAGGGAGTCAATGAGTAGAAGATTGGGATATATTTTATCCTAAGTGTACAATATTACATACTAGTCAGCAATTTTAGGGACATCCCCCCATTCCCTTTCTTACCTCTCCCTTCAACTTTTAGGCAAATATAATAAACTATGAGTGGTTAAAAATGCAGTAAATGCAAAATCATTCTACATGGGGAGGGATCTAGAAGTAGAAATGGCTTATTTAGTATTAAATCTGCCATCTGTTATTTCTTATTCACGTTATAATTATATATACATATATTTTAAAAACAAAATATGATACATATCTATTTATCAAAACATCAAGATCCTGTCTAGATACCATCTATGGCTATAACCTCTTTGCTAATACATAGCACTATAGCTTCTCATGGGTTATTTTCAGAATTGAATACTAATACTAATTCATTTATGTAGCTCTTTACAAAATACTTTCCTTAGAACCACCTTGTGAGGCAGTAGGTAGTACAATAATTAGTTACCTAGATTTATTGATGAGGAAACTGAGAGGCTCAGAGAGAGTCAACGAATCATTACCAGGGAAACACAGAGAGCAAGTGGACGGATTGGGGACTCAAACCTAGCCTCTTGTGAGTTCAAGCCAAGAGCTTTTTTCTACTGCACCATGGTAATGCCCAGCATTTTGTTGTGATTTTTCTCTTCGTTGAATTTTCTAGGACCTACATAAATAACATCAGTGTTGAGTTTTCATGATGTGATATACAGTTAGATCCTCCTCCTCCTTTTCTTCTTCTTCCTCCTCCTCCTCTTCCTCTTCCACTCTAATACACACACACACACACACACACACACACATTCTCTCTGACACATTTGCTAAAAAGCAAAGGTTTTGGATTCAGTTTCTTAAAGGTGGGGTTCCTTTCAAGTTCCCTACCTCCTTCCCTAAAAGTCTCTTCTTAGAGGGAACTTTTGGAAAGCATCTCCTTCCCACCCTCCACTGCTAGCAGCCCACCCTGAGCCAGACCGAGGAAGCACCAGCTTTTAACATTCTGGATGCTGAAAAGCATCAGACAAACAGAAGCATGTACTATGTGATATCACAGAAAAAGAGGGAGGGAACAGTGAGAACTGACTTTGACTCAGGCATCTTTCAGGGAGTTTGGGGCAGGGGGAAAGTGAGGGAGGAACTCAAGGAAGGAAAAGATTCATCCAGGAGGGAAGACTTGTTCTTAATGGGAGTTCCAATTCCAGATCTATAGTTTGAAGAAACTATTAATTTCTGGACACATTGGATAGTAATTGGTCACCCAACAACTATTTACTATGTACCCACTACATCTTAAGGCTAGGCATTATGGAAGATACAAATATGTACAATAACATTTCCATTACCCGTAAGGAGCTTATTATCAAGTTGGGGAGACAAGACATGAATGCATACATGTGAAAAGTTAAATAACACAAGAAAAAAAAATCAGTCCAATAAGATAAGTGATGTTATAAGGCAATTTGTGGTTAGTTGCCAAATGAATAAATGCTACAGGGAATAGAAGTTGATCAGATTTCTAAAGACAGGAGGATTATTGGTAGTGACAGAAGGGAGTGATATTAATAGAGCAATTATTTAAGAATCAGTGTCTTTGAATTTTCATTTTATGCTTAAAGGCTTTTTTTATCTTAAAGATGATTTCAGACCTTGGAATACTGAGAAAAGTGAACTTGGTAAACATCTGCCTACTGAGAAATCTACATTTCAGGATGACTTAAGTCCTCAAAAGCTATGTCCTAGGTCAAACTTTAAACCTTTGAACCTACTCTCCCATTCTGTTATTCCCTTTAATGCTATTACAAGCCATCGCTCATCATATGTGCCTCACCAGCTAGAACCCAAATTTATAAGACCAAAAGAAGTTTACAGGCCAAACAATGAACCCTTTGATGATTTAACAACCCACCGCCATGCCTACAAAGGCCTTTTTGGAGAACCTGCAAAGATTTGTAGACCTACAGTCACCAAGGTGGCAAAAAACGCTCCATTTAGGGAAAACACAGAATTCCAGGATAATTTTCAGTCATGGGAAATTCCATTGCCCAAGGTTCGAAAGTTAATGGAGGATGTCCCCTCAACAGGTCACATGGAGCCAAGTAGCAAAATCAAGCAAGATCATATTTCAACTCATATGACCACAGGGGCTCCCAAAAAGCAAGTTTATTCACATATCACTAAGTTTCCTTTTCAAGCAAGAAGCACTACGAAAGATGATTTCAAACTATGGGACAAACCATGTCGGCTAGGAATGATTAAGCCCAACAATCAGATTCCCAAGCCATCTGGGAAGTTTGAAGGCTTGACCACTTTTAGGTCACATTATATACCACATGAGTTAATTCCAACACTGAGTTTCAAACCTGTCCCCATTGTCTGTCACAGCTCTGAACCATTTGATGATACAACAATGTACTCTACACAGTATACAGCAAAGATACAGGAGACGTGCCCAGCTAGCTATACTTCCCCTCCAGGATATACATTTGAAAATACCAATTCCCATGGTCACAAATTATTCCGCAAGGATATTCCTTCTGGGAAGGACTTTTCCCCATTAATTGACAAGGTTTCCCAATAAATGGATTTTATGAGATGCTAGATTTCCTAGGCTGATAGACCTATGAGAATCAAAACATTTTAATTAATTGATAAAGAGAAAAATCTTCCTGGAAGATTGATCTTATGAAGGATTCACAGTAAAATGTTTGAACTGGATTTTTTTTTAACCTAAGGAAATTTGAAGATCTATCAAGAGGGATCAATATATCTGCTTATAGAATCAGGTCTATGATTGAACTAGTATGGATATTCCTTCCACCAAAGGTAATCATAACACCTTCATGCCACAGGAGACAGTTCTTCCTAAGTTGCTATGGTAAAAAAAATCATCAGTTACCACCCCTCTGTTAATAAGCATTTTTGAACTTAGCCAGGCTGATCCCTTAGAAGTCAGGCAGGTCATTGACAAGATTGTACCCACAGCCTTTCTAGCTGGGTGACACCAGCCACAGCTTGTGTTCCACTAGCATAGCCTCCAAGAGCCCCAGGATCACCTCCTTGACATCAGGAGGCATTAAGAGTAGGGTGCGGAAAGAGCCTCATGCAATTAACATTGATATTTTAGACCATTTTTCTTGACAATGCACTTATAACCATTTTACTTTGTATATTCCCAACGTAACTTATTATTCCTAACATGCAGTTTGACAACTGGTCCTCGTTCTGTGATCCTATATAATGATGACATTTTTATGTGCAAATGATGTAGTCAGGTGTCCAGCTGTTCAGTCATTAATGTCAATCTGCTTATGAAATATAGTCATTCAGCACACAGTAAATTAAACTCAGATCAAATTTGGCATATAAAGTATGATTCTTAATATAAATTATGCTTTTGGAGACTCAGGTAGTTCATGGTCATTCATATGCTTATGCTAATTTATTAAGTATTTTTAGATTTTTTTCCAATATAGGCATATTCCACATAATGTTGCCCCAACCAAGATCATGTTGTAATAATGATAACTTACATTTTATATATAGCACAGGCTTAATAAATACTTATCAAATGACTAAATATAGTGTTTTATAATGTACAAAATGCTTTATAACAATTCTGTTAATTATATAGTATGACTATTATTATTATTATTATTACTTCCATTTTACAGATGAGGAAACCAAGGTGTAGAGAGGTTAACCACTTACCTGGTCATAGCTACTGCATTCTCTCACCTTCGTACCTTTGCTCAGGCTATTTCTTAGGCCTGAAATGACCTCCTTTCCCATGTTTGCCTTTTGAACTAACTACCCCTGCATACTCCCACAAAATGCTACATCATCCAAGAAGTTTACACTGATTGAACAGATTTGGCAATAACCTTCCCCCTTCAATGTTGCCATAATACTGTTGTGTAATTGTCTCATGCATTACAGGCCATCGGGGTTTAAGCCCTTATCTTCCTACTAGACTGTAATTTCCATAGGCTTAAGGATTATCTTTTATCTATACTTTTTGTCTCCCTTGGCATCTAGCACAATACCCTGCACTCAATAGGTGCTAAATAAACATTCCTTTTATTGAATGTTGGAGCCAGAGGAATAAACCTAAGCCTGCTGACTCCAAAACTGGTGCTCTTACCATCCTCTTGCCTCTCACATTGACAGTATAACCACATCCCACCTCCCAAATATCTGATCTGTGCCAAAATTAACCCAACCTTAGCCTCTGCCTTGGATGGTCCCTGCTAGCCTTTCTTTGCCCAGGAGCCTCAGCTTAATCCACTCCAGCAGCTGAGACTCCACTCAGCTCCCTTTCTATGGAACTAACTCTCCCCGGTTTTTTTTGGTTTTGTTCTTAAGGGAAAAGAGTGAATAAGGGACATTAAGACATAGTGTATCTGAATACCAAAGAAATCTTGAATACAGCTTCTGAAATGCTGTAGTATTCATTTTTACCAGAGCGCCATATAATTTGTCTTTCCAGAGTAATTAATGAAAGGTAACATAACCTAAGGCAGAGAATCTGTGGAGGCCACATGAGAAGTGCTTAATTAACAATTCACTTTCTTCACTAGGGCAAGACAAAGTAGGGCATAATGGACAAACATCGGATCTAGTCCCACATTTAATGCATTGGAGTGCATAATGCATATAACTCTAGACAAGTTATTTAACATATTGGAGTCTTTTTTTCCTTATCTATAAAACAAAGATACTATTATCAGCCCTGACTACCTCACCAGGTTGTTTTAAGGATCAAGTGAGGAAATGGATAGGAAATCATACAATTTATGTTTCAAAGCTCTCTCCACCATAGTAGATCACAGCCCGTCTAAACCAGAGTACGCAGTCTTCAGGAGCAGCAAAGGGTAAACAAATGTCTTAACTGGTGGTTAGCCTATTGGTGGTCAGCCTTCCCTAGGTTACTTAATCTGACTTCTAGATGACAAGCATATAGTACATTGAGAGGCCCATACATTTTGGTATGACCTATCAGTGTGTGTTTTGCTTCACAGACTTTGAGAATTCAGAAGTTCAAGTTAATTCAATAAACATTCAGTAGGTGCCTGCTATGCATCAAGTACTGTGCTAAAAGCTGGGGGATACAACAAGAGGCTAAAGACAGTCCTTGCCTTCTAGAAGCTTACAGTCTAACGGTTCTCATCTACTCCATGATGAAACTTTGGAGCACCTCTATGGAGGATAAAATTGTAAGGCATTAAATTACACTCTCTCTATTCCACAGTCATGCAAGTTCAATTTAACAGGTGCTAAATAAGCACTCCCTACATAATGAATTCACAGGTCCAAACTTTACTGAGATATGTTAATGAATTGTGTGCTAGGCAATGGGGATACAAAGATAGATTTTAAGTATACCTTGCTTTCAAGCTGCTTGCAATCTCATAAGAGAAAATCACAATTATCTGTGTGATTTTGGATAATACATTTAATCTCCCTGGGCACTGGATGTTAGATCATAGGTCTATAGAGACAGAAGGGATGTCTAAATGGCTCAGTGGATACAGTACCCCACCTGGAGTCAGGAAGTTAAGTCTTCTGAATTCAAATCCTGCCTCAGACACTTTCTAGCTGTGTGACCTGGGCAAGTCACTTAACCCTGTTGGCCTCAGTTTCCTCATCTGTAAAATGAGCTGGAGAAGAAATCTCCAGTATCTCTGCCAAGAAGACCCTAAATGGGTTCACAAAGAGTTGGGCATGACTGAACAATAACAGAGACATCCAGTTAGTCCATCTTCCTCCTTTCAGAGATAATGAAGCTGAGGCCAAAAGAGGGTCAGTGATTGGCCAAGAGTCAGATGGGCAGTGTCACTGGTGGAATTTGCACCTAGGTCTTCTGACTCCAAAACCAGTGTACTTTCCCCGGTGCCTCACTTCTTCCACAGAGGCCCCCTATTTCTGTAAAAGGTCTTCTGTTATCTGTAACATGAAGAGTCTGGGCTAGTAGCAGATCTCTAACATCCCAGTTCCAAATGTCCGAGGCTGTGAGTTGTGAAACAAAGAAAGATGAGACAGATGCAAGGGGAAAGTCCTCCAGGAAAAGGACAAGAGGAATCTGCTGAGGGAGAGATTACTTTGATTTGGGGTGAGGGAGGTGTTCCTTCCTGTTTTCTTATCTTTAAGAAAGGGGTTGATAATGCTGTCCACTTTCTATCTACTTTTTAAGTACATCACAAAGATTACAGAACAACTGCTCCAAGTTTTTCTTGATTTCCCAAATAGGACACTTCTCAACAGAGTGGAGAGAATGCTTTTGCCTTTAGAAATTCAAAAGTTGCTTAAGACAACTATTTCACAGGGAGTGGAGTATAGGAGACCAGTGAAAGAAGTCTGCATGATAATGTTTTCTGAAGACAGAGTGAAGCATAGTGAATTGAGGCATTTGAAAGCATGTAGGCCTTGGATCCAAGGGGAGACCTGGGTTTGTGTCTTGCCTCTTGACTCCAGCTAGCTGTGTGACCATGTGTAAGAGCCTCTGTGCCTCATATAACTATAAAAATGGGGATGATATCTATCACATTGAGCACACAGAGTTGTTATAAAGCTCAAATGAAAACAATGTTGCAAGATTTCCCAGGTGTAGAAATGTCAGTTGTTATGGTTATGACTACTATGGAAAATTATAAAAGATATATCAACAAAAACTAATTGCTCAAAGTCTTCAGAGTACTTAGGGAGATGAGGTTAGATATGTTCTGCTTGGACTGGTGGGAGTTCCCAGTTTCCCCCATAAGGAACAGCAGTAGCCAGATGTAATGTACAGTTATAGTAACAGACTCAGAGTCATAAAATCTAGGATTATGCCTGGATATCATCTCTTTCCCATACTCTGCCTCCTCTTTTAGTTCAGCAATAAAATACATGCTAAAAAAAAAAAAGAAAAGAAAAAGGAAAGGAAAAAAGATTCTGCTAGTAAATAAAGTAGCAAGAATTAGTAGTAGATGAGATATTTCCATAATTTCCTACAGAAATATAGAAGTTCCTGAAAATATTTTTCTTTGAGTAAATATGTTTAATATGGAGTGAATTTTAGCTTCCTTTTATTGTATCTATGTTAAATCTATATTAAATATATATCAATTTGGGGCTTGAAATGAACCAGTCACATACTTTTTAGATTGAAAACTTGTTATTAAATTGTGATTAATTTATCAACATGAATTTAAATTTGTATACATGATTGTAAAATTATAAATAGCACTTAAAACTTCATCTCTATGTAGTATCAGATGATCAAAAAAACCCAACAACTTATACTTCCATCTTTCCCTAAAAAATAATCTCATTTTGGGGAAAAATAATGTCAAGTAACTGACTATGTATATGAGGTGAGCAGCCTTCTCTCATATGAATTCTGATTATGTAAGTCAGAAAGAATTGAAAAACCCCTAGTTATTTTTCCCATTTTGAGGTTTGGATATGTCACTGGTAATCTGGTAATGCATCTCTTTTTGAATATTCTTTATGACGTATTTAGCAGCTCAGAGAACAGAAGAGAGACCTCTTTATCAAGGTTCCTTCGACTTTACTTTTATCAATATGGTTTCATTAATGTATTTGTTTGGTGTGCAAAGACTGTTTTAATCTCTCATATGGAAAAATCATGGACAAAGATCAAATGAGAAGATGTGGATGGATTGCAATCTGTACTGAAAGAAGGAATACCCTCCGTGGATGAGGTCAGAGATGCAGTGATATACAGAAGCATGTCAATGTTGATTTCACAAAATTATATTTTTAGTGCTTTAGGGATGCATAATGAAGAATACTACTCAAATTGGATAATAGGATTATCCTCAACATAATAGGTGGTCCTAGTAGTTTTAAAAAAGTGGTCCTGGGAAATGATGTTTATGGAAGACATTATGTAAAATGTCACAGAAATGAACCCATATATCATTGTATGATGGTCCAACAGCTGGGGAATCAGGAGAAACGGATTCAAGTCCAGCTAACTCTTCCATTGACTTTTAGCATTATGGTGGACAGGTCACTTTGCCTTTTTGAGTCTTACTTTCCTTACCTGTAAAATAAAAAGGTTGGACTAGATAATTTCTAAGATCTCTTTTTGTTTACCATTCCATAGATCAAGAGTATTTCTCTCCATCATTAATAGACCTTATAAAACAATAAGATAAACACTGGAAACCAGTGTCAAGAAGTGTGTTTCCAATTTAATAAAATAATCTTTTTCTTTATTCTGTTTTAACAGAATTCAGTGTTAAGTGCACTTATGGCCTGGATAATCATTGATGAAGTATATGCATTTTTGGAAGCCTACTTAAACTATAGTATTATCTTTCCATGTTCAGTATACAATTGGGGATAGGGTTTGGGATCAAAATCAAAGACTTCCCAAAATGAGTGACAACAGGTTTTATGTGCAGCAATCCCTTAATACATGGTTATAACAGAACCGTAATGCACCTAGTTACAAAGAAAACATAACAATAACTGAGCCATCCCCCAGGACATGGCAAATGTGGTCATTACTCTGATCCTCGGCAATGGAGTGCTTCTCTTTTTTCTTCTTCCCCTCTCCCAATAACAGACAACAAATGTAATTAACCAGGGGAAGAAGATGGCTCCCCTAGTTTGGACAAAAGGTATCCTGAGGCTTACATATGTATAGATAAAGATAGATAGATAGATATAGCTATAAATGTGTGTGTATGTAAATGTGTGTGTGTGTGTGTGTGTGTGTGCATGCATGTGTATATCTCAGTCCATTAACTTTCCTCATCTTCCTTCTCGCCAAGGCCCCTCCTTCCTTCCACATGTCCTACCCTCAACCCAAGTTTATGGTATCTGTAACTCCTTTTTGCCACTTCCCAATTGCCTTGGATATTCATTTTAATACCATTTCACCTGTGTTAAAGATGCTTTGGATGGATGGAGGAGGTGGAGATTGGAGGCACATATTATGATTTGCTGTAAGATAGTCCTTCCCTCCCCCTGGAGGGTCTTGGGCCCTGAGCACCTTAGGGATGGTGTGGATATCCCCATATAGAGAGGCCACAAGAGAAGCCACAAAAAGAAATGCTCTCCATAATGATGGTGCAGCTGAATAACCAAACTCAATTTTATTTCTGAATTACTGAAGCGGTTTTTATGAAAGATATATAGTGAACACTTCTTGTTACTGTAACAGTAGTCAATACACTACAGAGGCATGTCACTTTGATGGTAATAAACAGTTTCCTTATTGCAAGAATATACTCAACCCAACCCAGAGGGTATAATAGAAAACAAGAAATGCTTAATGTTAACTCTTAAAGTTTAAATACAAATATGAAGTAATTTAATATGAATTCTTGGTAATAAGAAAAATATATGTTCCATAATCTTTATTACACACTGTACAAAACAAAATATTGCACTTTAAGAATCATACAATAAATATATACAAAAGTTATCTTACAAATGTTCTTTGTCCTTTTAATTTAAAAACCTGTTTCAACAGTCAAGACCCATTACTGATTAAAAAAAAAAAAGCTTGTCATCTGGAGTATCCTCTCCCACACAGCCACCAAATGCTGTGCCTTCTAAGCCCTTGGGATACAGTAGTGCTCATCTCAGTTTCAGTGATGCTAAAAATTATGGCCTGGGAGACCTGTGGCTTTCCAAATTACAATGTGCCAATTCTGGGACTGCTCCTGCCCTCCAAGAAACCAAAGCCAAAATGTATGTCCCCTGTTGGGCACTGAGGCAAGAAACAGTGAGATGTGCTTCCCCCTCAGATTTCATCATTGCTACAAATGGGTAAAATATTGCATGTAAACAGAGCAGCTGTGGCACCTTCCTCAGACTGCCAGGACATCCAAATGCTGAATCCTTAATTCTTTTTTCTCTCCCCTCAACCCCCCTCCCCTCACTTTTTTTTTTGGTCAGCCAGGCTTAGAATTGGCAATACATCTAGGAAGATGGTAGAGAAGTCTTTCAATGGTAGGTTTAGAATTTATAATGTGCAAGCTTGAGTTCCTTTTTTGAGTGATGGAAGCTCAATGTGTATGAAAATTGTCAATGGCTTCACTATTAAGAATCCTATTTAGAACACTACTTCCTTATTATTTTGATTCAGGATTGAAAAAAATATAAAATACTGAGGAATGATATTTGACACAGACTGGGCCAGATAAGGCTTAGATTTCCTATCTGGTCATGTGCAAGAGAATAGTGCTTACCAAAGTGTCATTCACAGCTCTTCTAAAGAAGTGTTGAGTCTAATTCAAAGTCAGTAGAAATGACTAAGTAGAGCTTCCCTCTGATCATCTTTCAATCTGAGTGGAAGAGGATAGGAACCAAGCCAAGCAGCGCCTCCTCTGATTAAAAAAATACAGATTTCTGGAGTGGAAAATGGCAAGACTGTCAAGAATGCTGTTTCCCATTTGGTACATAAACACTGGTTAGGGATGTGAGATGCTCTCCCACACTGTGTATCCAGCCACCAGCCAATCTTGAGAAAACTTGTCCTGAGAGTTTGCCTCATAGTCCAATCTTAAAGCCAGCTATGAAAAATACAATCAATGACACAACCACCACCTGAACAGCTACTG